CCGCGAGCCACAAGATGCATGGGACTTGACACCTAGCATCACATCTATTGTTGGGGCGGATGTGACAATGGTGATATAGGCGTCTCTTGCAGAAATGTCCACAAAGAGCCAGCATGGACCTTGATACGGCCACGGAACACTGCAGGCTGGGCTTGGGCCGGTAAAATCAAAGCCCTCTGTAAGGACAACTGAGAAAACACATCGCCATCCGGAAGTCTGCCAGCTTTGTGGAGCCTTGCCATTGCACTCCAGTGGGTAGGACGGCCTCTTGGGACTTCTAGAAAAGCCGGCTACCTGTTATGGTTCAGTCCCCCGGAACCCTTATTTAAGTAGCTATTACGCCTGTATTGATCGCTCGTCATTCGATCAATGCCTGATCTTTTGCCCTTGGCGCAACGGCTTAGGCGTAGCCGTTACACCACCGGCTGCTCTGATCCAGAATCTTCAGAGCCATTCCATCTGGCGCGACGCCTTAGTCGCCTACGAACAGAGAGTGTGCATTAGCGCCGCTTCAAATAAAAATGCAATAAGTGCTGCAACCCGGCTTACATAGAGTCGGGGAAACTCAGGGCGTATTGTCAGGATCTTTGCTACCCAAGTAGTATGAAATCAGGATACGGGATGCAAAGCCGAGCAAAAACTCGATGTCGCACGCGAGCTCTTTTATCAAGATACCAGTCAATCCGAGCAAGTCAATGGGGGATGATTTTCGTTCCTAGGAGAGGTGGCCTCATGTTAAATTCAATCGATCCATCCCATATCTAGCACAACTAGTATATCACAATCCCATACACATATTCGGTGTCACCTCCTGTTCGAGTACAATGCATGCCATCACCTATCCGTTAACCTTCTCTCTTCTTTGTATTCTATCTCCCGGAGCAGGAGTTCCCCTCGGAAAATGACGCCGGTGTTCGCGTTACCGTGGGAGGATATGTCATGTCCTTCCATGGTCAGACTTTGCATGGTGGCTTGAATAGCTGAACTCACCAACTCAGCCGGCGGCGTGGGAAAATTCGAGTTGGGTGTCGTCGAATTGTATTGATAGTGTCGCTGGTTTTGACGGATGAGCAAGTATATATCAGTGTTCGGATAACGCTTGCTGATCGCGTCGCAGCGCTTCATCATGCGAAACATTGCGCGCGAAAAATTCTCTCTTGTGCGATCGCGCTTTTTTGGTGGATCGGCGTGCATGGTGTGTACGGTTTTGGGGTGTCTCTTGTGTGTCCCGGGTGCTTTAAAGCACGGGGTTCCATTTGTGAACTTCATCTAGCCTCATGGAATCATAGAGCACTAAGCACCCCGAGATATGGCCGCTCCCAAACACTCAACTCCGCTGACAAGATACCAGGTGGGAGCTCCGACCTAAAGTGATGCACTTGCATTGATAACCAGAAGCTGCCGGCTTCGCCCTATCAACTGTCGGAACCTGCGGCTTTGGAGACCTTGTCGCTGCTCCAAGCTTTTCGTCCATTTCCAGGCGGCCACGTATGACATAAAGGGAAAGAAGACAGCTTATCAAGAACAGTAAACACCTGGTACCGGCAGTCCAAACGGGATTGATACACGGGTTTACAAAGAAGTTACTTACAAATACGTAATATGTGGATGGAAAAAGTATCTGGAGTGATTGAAACCGAGCCCCAATTCGATATCTAGCGGGTACCTCCGACCAGATCAGAGCATTCGTTATACGCATCAGCACCACTATCAACCTCAGCTGATCAAACAACGGAACCGAATAGTGGCGAACATTTTGAAGCGGCGACGTCCCAGGGATATTCTCCACCGGCCCCTTATTGCAGTAATTTGGCGTAGCCGTTACACTCATCGTCATATGACATACTTTTCTTCTCGTCACTTACCGGCCTATGATTCATCTCCCACTCTCTCCTCGAATCGCTTCTAATCATATGTGGCTCGCGAACGGTCACCTGTCCAGTGTTCCGGATAAGGCAGTTTGAGGCTCGACTCAGGAGCATTCTCAGTCGATGGACATTCTAGGCGACGCTGCGTCTGTCGAACCGGGCCGACCAGCATCGCACGCTGAGTGGTCGACGCATAGATGCGTCTCGGCCACAATGAGCCCCGAATTCTGGTTGGAAGATGGCTCCAGGGTTCAATTGATGGAAGCCAACCGCCGCACCAATCTTCGGGTCTGTAACGGCCATCCGCTTGTGGCTGCGACACCGTTGCATAGAAAGACGTCATGCGCTGGACGTCCCCGAGCCAGCTCATCATCTCAATCTCATTTGGCAACATGTCTCCTGGCGATAGAACTCCGACAGACAGCGCCGACGAATACTCCGCGTCCGCCCACATCGCTCGCGACCCTACGCACGATGCAGAGGCCCAGGAGCCGAACAGGCTGCCTAGTACGACGACGGCCACGGCCCATAGTCAGTGCACACTTGTCGCGTTCTTGTACGCATGGATTACTGATTGCCATGGCAGGCCTGTGCGTTGACCATGGCTTCGAACCCGCCACAGGTGGGCACCCGCACGTTTCGGAAGATGGAGCGACGAAGCCTGGTGAGGCCAGGCCGCGCGGCTCGGAGGACACGTCAAAAATGAGTCACGAGCCATTCAAACCTGAGGAGCCAACCTTTCAACCAACCCACCATTTGCAAAACATTCGAGCCGATCCCAACAGTGTTCAGTTCCTCGTCTCGACCAAAAACCAAACCTGCAGCGCAAAAGACGTGGAAGTTGGTGACGGTTCCTTGCAGATTGTTGCATCGGGAGAGGAGGCACTTGCGCGGATTGCGGAGGCCCTCGGCAGCCCTCAAAGCATCTCGGCAGCTAGGCAATCATCTCAGGTCTCACGTTTTGACAGTTATGGAAGAGGCCAAGTCCTGGGAACGGCTCAGATGCAACGAGAGCAAGACAGCAATAGGAAGTAAAGATGACTTGTGATGACCTATTGGAGCGATTTGAAACTTGCGGGTTGTCGAGCAAAAATTGTCCCAGGGGGTGAGCACATGACGCCCGAAGGCAGGATAGTAGCGCTGTTGTTGGTCGTGACAGAAGCCTGGATTTTATGAAAATTGTTAGCAGCAATGTTTGATATCAGCCAAGACGTAATCCAAATACACTGCAAACCTCTAAAAGCCTCTTCAACATGATCTCCCCAGTCCTACAGCCTTATGTGAGCTTGAATACACCGCACAGTGGCTCATGTACTTTCAACGTGTCCAAGTGTCTAACACTGAGCGAAGCAGTTTGATGCAGCGCATCTGGTTGCCCACGGGAAAGGTGAGCAGCCAGTTTCCCCCGCGGTATTCAGGGTATTCAGCAAGCGAGGCACCACCCAGCTCTCGCAGCGCCCTGTCGTACGCCTCCACGTCTTGTCCATATGTACTAACGCCAATCGATTTTCTAAGCATCAGGCCACTCTTATAGTATTCCCACACCAGCTCTCCGTGGTCCCCGATGACTTCGTCGTGATGAGTGGTGGTATAGAGTAGGTTGTGGATATTGAGCACCAATTTTTGTTCCGGGAAGCGAATCTCGGCTTTGCTCACGTCAATTTGGCAAGGCTTCCGCAACGCTCGTGTGAGGTATTCCCAGTACAGTCGACTGAGACGAGTGTTGCTGCTCTGATTCGTCACCACTAGAGCGTGGTACCCATCGTATCCACAAAGTATAGTAAAATATATAGACTTCTGACTAGCTGCATCAAAGGGCCGATGGTGTTCGAAAAATTTGTTCCAAAGCTGTGTGGTTTCTGGATCAGGCCCGTGAACAAAATTCTCGGACTCCATCCTGGCGTAAGATGCACCGTCGAGGATGTCTGCTCGACGAAGTACATTATATGTCCTTCTGAACGGTAAAATCCGGCTGAGGTCACACGAAATAAGCGAGACTGCTCAAGTTGGCAGGATTCGGGAGTGGGGGCCGAAGGCGAAACTTGATCTACAAGGGCCAGGATCAGGAGCCGCGGACAGCTTCCGTAGAATGCGTAGTGGACGTCCACAATTGACCGCCGAGAAATGTGCTGCTGCAGTAGGCTCTATATTTACCGTCTCCTAAGCCACGGGGCTGCCCAACCTTCAAGATTTGCGTCGACTCACTCCCTTGGCAGCTGCGTACACGTGTCGTCCCCAGTGCCGCTTGCCATATCCGAGCCAGCGTGTCAATGTACGCTTGAACGTAAGAGTTATGGCTGAGACAGAGTATAATGAGGAGGTAAGCGCGCTCCCAGTAATATCAGTATCACGCCTTGTAAGGGATCGTATTTACAGAAGGGAGGTTGTCAATTATCTCGCTTTAGATACCAGGTCAGCCAGATCCTGGCCAAGAAGCCTCGTCTCCAGAAGAGATACTCACGGCCCCCGAAACAAAGCGATCAGCTATTCCGCTCTGACATTGTACACGGCGACGTTTGTGGCGACGAATGCAGGTTCAATGCTCAGCACCTCGTCGCCCGGCCGGATCGCGAGGAGGACGA